TATAATTTTTTTTTTTTTTGGGCTTATACACGTTCCACATAGTTGCCGGGGAATGTGCCAAAGCAGCCCGTTCTCTGCGAGGTGCCCACATACCAGCCATCGTCGCATTTCTCTAGAACATGCACCAGATCGCCCTCGAAGATCTCCAGTTCGTCGGAGTTCTGTGGCCGATATTTGTACAGAGCGCGATAGCTGTTAAGATACGAACAGAACAGAAAGTTAATTATGTTTATTTCTTGTCTGATCCCAAATACTTACGTGAGTGGCTCGGAGCTGGTATCCACATGGAGTGCATCTGTCTTGTGCAGCGTGCGGGTCTCCTTCAGTATGCCATTGGGCGGATGTGCTCCGTTCTGGGTTAGCGTATTGAACTCGTTATTGATATTTGTGCGCAACACGTCCAGATTTGGACGCAAATTTGTGGTGCTCTGAGTGTTGATAACTGTTGTCGTTCTAGCCGCAATATCTTCCGCACCAATATCGGTTAAGACCTGGCAAACACACACACAAATAGCAAAGAAAGAGGAAGAGTTGATAAGGTTTGATTAGTTGATTCATTAAAAGTGCGTAAATGTTGAAGAAATGCTGAAAGTTATAGCCGTTATTAGGGGCAAGTGAATAGAGTTTACAGTTGGTATGGGGAATACTTTGAGTTTTGGACTGGATATTACATAGATTTATATAATAAATATTCCAAAACTAAGGCCTGATTCATGGTTAGAATTCTTTTACATATGTAAATCATTCAGGGTCTAGATCTCTGGCATAGTAAGATCTCTCTAAAGTAAATACTTTTGTAATTACAAACAATGAGCTGATGATTCACAGACAATGCTTAGGAAAAATATGTGTAACTGAAGTAGGCATGAATCATATGAATACACTCATATGAGTATGCTCACACAAGTGGGCACTACTATAGCAGACGAGACTGCGGTAGATACGACTATATTATTGTACAGTAGAGAGTGTATGGTAGAATAGATTAGAGAGTACGGTAAGTAGAGTAGACTAAGTAGAGTAGACTAAGTAGAGTAGAATAGTATAGGGAAGAGTAGTGTAAGGTAGAGTAAAATAGAGCTGTGTATAGTTGAGTAGACTAGGGTAAGGTAGAAGAGAGTAGAGTATAGCAGCATACGGTAGAGTCGAGTGTGGTAGTGCAGAGGAAAGTAGAATAAAAGAGTGCACAGTAGAATATCGATGATCTGTTATTTACCTCCACATAGGAGACAGGGAAAATGCCCTTGCGGTTGGCTATTTTGCCCTCAAACCAATTGCCATCGACACGACGTGTTAGTGTGACCAGCTCGCCTTTGTTCAGCGAGAGCTCAACGCCGGACTGCGCTTGGAAGTTGTACTTGGCACGAGCCTGACCCTCGGAGGGACGCTTCGAGGGTGTGCGAGCGCCATCTCGACTGATAATCTGCGAGAGAGAGGGCGAGAGAGAGAGAAAGATGTTATAGTGAATATATAAAATAGTTTACTGAGCTCTGAGCTCTACCTCCACATAGCTAGCAGGCAGCAATCCAATCATGGCGTTATACTCGCCCTCATACCAATTGGGATCGACTTGTCGTCGTATATAGATGGTATCGCCCTTGCGGAACGAGAGCTCCCTAAAAGAAACCCGAGTTCAAGTTGAGTGAGAGTGCGGCTGAGAGAGTTGAGTGTGGCTTACTTGGAGCTCTGTCCCTGGAAATTGTAGAGAGCGCGTGCCACTGTTTTGGGTCCCACGAGCGACTTAAGCGTCACGTCTGTGGGGAAGTCATCGTAACGATTGAGGGCAATCGGCGACTTTTGTGAGGGTGTGAAATTGTCGGTGTGTCGTCGCGAATTCATGTCCTGCAGCTCCTGTAGATATTTGCGTCGACGCTCCTCCTGGTATAACTTTTGCATATGCTCCGCTTGACGTATGGCTAATTCCTCATCCGATATGTTTGGCTTGTACTCATGCCGGAGTGGGGTCTTGAAGTGTATATTGACGTCTATATGAAACGAGAAGAATTGTATAGGGTATCGATGAGTATATATCGTAAATATCGGAAATTGGACGCCTGGTCTGGCTGGCCAAAAGGTTGTTGTTTCGTTTGTGTTTATTGTTACGAGCGATGCTAAAAATACGAAATAAGTAGTTAGGGCATTGTCGGGCGGCGGCTCGTAGGGCAAGTGTAAGACGAGCTAACCGCAAAAAAAAAACACAAAAAAAAAACACAAAAAAAAATATATATATTATTGTCGCTGCTGTTATGAAACGAGCCGCAGCGCTTATCTGTAACTGTAGCTGTATCTATAACTGTCTGTATCTATATCTGTAGCTGTAGCTGTAGCCTGTAGCTGTATCTGTATATAGCTATCTTCATCTGAGTCTAACGTCTGTGCATGCCAATTGGTAAGCAAATAAACAACGTTAACGCTGTTCAGCGCACGCCTCGCTAAGCAGATAGACCCCACAAAACGCAGATAACCTCTCGGCAAACTGAGAAAGTTGAGATGAATAACAAAGTATATATATATATAGAGAGAGGTATATATATATATATAGTTTAGTCTTCGTTTTCAATTGAATTAACATTTCGCATTGTATCGAAAATGAGCTGCAATTGAAGTTAATGCTCGTTAGTTTCCACTGATAGCTAAATTAGCCACCAATTGAAATGAAAGTGGTGCCAACTGGGCGTGTGGCTTAAGTGGGTGGATGGCTGATGACCCACCCGAATGCCCAAGTGCTTGCTACTGCTGCAGCTGTGGCTGTTGTCAGCTCGTGATTGGCATCTTAAGATAATGTAGCCCCTATATCATTCATTCAACAATGCAATGGCTGTCAATTAAAAAAGTTTACAATGAAGAAATTATAATTATTATTTTCTTATCTGATCAAGTTTTGATAGCTTTTTTGGATGGCGGTTTTATGGAGTTTAGCAATATTTTTTTGTCTTGTGAAGAGAGACATCTTGAACGATGCTGTAAGAGTTTAGCTTCAAGTACAAGTAAATAACTAAATATATAACTATACGTTATATGTATTCTATGCTTTAAAACTCGATGAAAAAGGCTAAAATAATATATATAAAAATTCAACAAGAATTCGTGAACTCTACAATAACAATTATGAATAGGTATTAGTTCCGAAAGAGCCGAGGATTTGCATTTTAAATGTTTTAGAAGATAGGTAAGGGGAAAAGATATATTTAGATAAGCGCTGTATATCTACAAAAAAATGCTTAGAAATACCAATAGACTTAGATCAGAGATAAAGAGACGTCATCAACTGAAGACGTCATGAACTGAAAGAGGTAGCAGAATTAAGAGCTGAACTAATAAAGCCCACATATGCGAGGGCAGCAAGAAAGATGTGGGAGCCATAATCAACATTAAGAGAAGAGGAATAAGCTTAATTATATTATTTAAATTAAACTATGCAGAATATGCTTGACTTGATGCCCGAATTAAGAGGCTATTTACCCTTCATTTTGATGTTAAATATCGAATTAAATTAAATTTATTTGACAAAGTTATAAATATATAAATTAAATGTAGTTTCGTATCTCATTCAAACTGCTGTGAATATAATTAAATTGATAATTGAATAGTCTAGTAGCTAAAGAGAAAATTGAAGATCTGATAGTCATGACACTGAGTGGAATTGAAGTTAAAGGAAATATAGGAAAAATGCAGTTAAATTTAAATAAATTTATAAAGATTCCCTGTTAGCTCGATGAAGTCAGAATGCATTTATAATATAATTAAGTTAATGCCTCTTTGTGGCTAATAACTTAACATCTTTGATGAGCTTTAAAACAAAGCCATGAGACTGCCCTGAGCAGCTCGTACTTGGAAACAAAGGAAACCTCGAAAGAGACATATAGTTAAAATGCTTTACAAGATCAACAACAAAGACTAACTAAGGCTGCGAATAATTGCTGATAAACACCAGCAGTTGAGACAAGATGAGCCACTAAAGCAAACCTAGTATATACTAGATATTAATATATATGTCATTTTCATAGCTGCAGCAGTTATAAAGCAGAAATATATTCACTGCGGCCCTGGGCTGCATAGTTGGGAGATTCAGTTGTGGATATTCGTTTGCATATGACGTGACCGCGTTTCACATGAGCTTGCGGGGGGGAATTGATGAAGCGCTCAACTGATATGAATGGCAGTTAAACAATTGGAAATCAAGCAAAGTCGTAAAGCGAATTCTAAACGAATTGCGCAGCAGCCAAAGATCAAATTTTCCATCTCAAATAAATAGAAAATTTGTTTTGATGAAGGGCTTTACAAAAAGCGGAACACAAGCTGTACAAATATTTGTCGTTGTTGTTGTTGTCTGTGACAATGACAAAATGCTTTAAAAGATCATAAAGCACAGCAAACAAACAGCTTTTTGTTGTAGTATGAAGCAACAAAAAAAAAAAAAAAAAGAAGAAAAATAAATAAAAAAAAGGAGAAATAATTGTCACTTGAGAGATTTTTCACTTTCACTGATTTGTTTGAGGCGGCGCAATTTGCAGCGTTTTGAAAGTGTTGCCGATTTTCATCTTTCACTGCACACACACACACACATACACACAGAGACACACATGCACTTGTTTGCCCCGTTAAGCCGGATTTTCCTTTCGAGCTAGGTTAATCAGCGCTTAAGGCAGAAAACAAAAACCTTTTCTTTTTGCCTCACTCTACTCTACGCTTCACCTCACTGTGATTAGTCACACAATCAATCAGAATCACTGCCAGATAGTATGAGAAGGTCGTTTGGGTCTGATAAAGCAGCCAAAAGTGTCTCGGCTAAGCCAATGCACGAACCTCGCTCCAAACTCGTTTAAGTCGACCGATCGATCGGGGCGCGCGACTTTAACAACTGCTTCGTAGCACGCGTTGCGCTCAACTGAAACCGAAACCGAAAACTGAAATTCAAACTGAATGAAATGCAAAGATTGAGTGAATGAGCAAGTGAGAGAATACAGTGGAATAGATAGAGACACACAGAGAGAGAGAGACAGAGAGAGGGAGAGACATTGCTGGAGCTGCTTTGTCGCATTTCAGTTATCGTCGTACAACGAATGCCGTTTCTTTGGCGCCCCACCTCGAATCGCACGTTTATTCAGACATTGCACAGCTGCTGCTTCTTCTTCTTCTTTTACTACGACTGATTGTTGTTGTTGTGTTGAAGTGTGAAGTGCTTACAGTGGGGCAATTAACTCACGCACAGTTGATAAGAGCGCGGCTCGAGTGTACGTGAATTGGATGAGACATTTTCAAATGAATCAAATTCAATTGTTGAAATAATTTTGGGGAAAATATTCAGAAATATTTTGAAATGTAAAGAAAGAAAGGAAGAAAAAAAAAATAATAAAATGAATAATATTAATAAATTTTTTTAGATTTACCTGTATTTAATATTTTATTTTATAATCATTAAGCTGGATAGGCTATATATTAATCATCTACTGAAATTTGTATGGAACTGTAGCTTTCAGCTTATCCATTTATATAGACAGACTTTACATGTTTTTTGTATAATATAATATAAACATGTATAAAATATATTTAAATATATTTAAGGTCTGTATAGAGGCTAAAAGTTGTGATATTATCGAACACGGAAAACTACATCCAAATAGTTCCCAGAACTGGATTTTATCACAAACGGAATTTCAGCTTAGCTACAATGTTTTCCTTGCATTTATTTTTAATATAATACGGAAGAGTAGATGAGAAAAAGCCAATTTGCCATTAATTTATTCGTTACTTTGATTTTATGCGAGCTCTGTCATAATTGAAAATGAAATATATTCCATGAATATATTCCATGATTGTATTTAAATTTCGATTTCAAGTACTTTTTTGCTCCACTGTCCGGAGCCAAGCACAAGATCAAAATTGAAGAGATCGTTGCACCTCAGAAAGCTCCAACAATGCGAAGCTTTTTATCGCGAGGCACGTGAAAAACGTGAGATGCATGACAAAAGCGTGGCAATCGAAAGAGAGAGATAGTCTTTCACTCTCTCTCTCTCTCTCTCCCACACTCTCTTTTATCTGTTGCTCTCTGTGCCTCATTCTCTCTCTCTCTCTGCTTTGATAACAAGTTTCAAGTTTTGCAAAAAAAGAAAAGAAGAAAAAAAATTAATAGCGTGAGAAAGCGCAAAACTGGAAAATCGTTTAATCAAAAATTGAGAAAGTTAACGTTTTTGCCTTATGAGTGGGCGTGCCAGGAGGCTGCGCATGCTTAGGCCAAGGGGGACGTGTTGGGTTGTAAGTGAAGGGCGGGGCGGGGCAGGGGGAGAGATGTATTAAGCGCTATACTAACTGCCGCTTAGCTGCTGCCACTGCTGTTGTTGTTGTTGCAGTTGCTGTTGTTGCTGTTGCAGTTGCAGTTGCTGTTGCTGCCACATGAGCAGCGGCATGGAGGCGCCTATGGCATGTCGATTGGCCAAATATGCCTGACGCTGCGCTGGTGACGGCGTGGGGGGCAGCCCTACAATATGATAGCTCATTGCTGTCGCTGTTGTTGTTGTGGCTGTTGTTGTTGTTGCTGCTGCTGCTGCTGCTGCTGCTGCTGGCAGCGGTGGCACCATGGGCGCTGCTGTTGCTGCTGCTGCTGTGTCGCGCCGCAGCCACAGCAACTTGCCACAGTTGGGCACATCGCAGACGCTGCGATGCAGCGTGGCTGGCGTCAGGTTGTTGCTGTTGTTGTAGTAGCTGTTGCCATCGCTGCTCAGCGGACGTCGCTGCCACTGATCAAAGCTGTTGCTGCTGTTGTTGTTGTTGTTGTTGTTTCGGCGCAACTGTTGCTGCTGCTGCTGTTGTATGCTGTCATCTGTCAGCTCTAAATCATTGCAGCTGCTGTGCAGCTTTTGATGCGACTGTCGCCAGTGCATGCGATTGCCCGCCGTTGAGGCAGTGCGTCGACTGTGGTTGCTGCTGTTGCTGTTGCTGTTGCTGTGGTGGTTGCTGTTGCCAGGGTGTTGTTGGTGGGCCGCGTAGGTGTCGCTGCGTCGCGGCGCTAACGTTTGATGTATCATAATTATTTTTTAATTTATTTCTATTTCTTCTAGCGGTTGCTTTTTCTTCTTCTACATAGATTTACGGCTCTTATTTTTTTGCACCACTCAGTGGTGCATTATGTAAGTGGAAATTGACGCGCGTCGCATTTAATTAGGAAATGGTCGAGCGTTGACGTTTTTGGCACGGAAAAGTGAAACTAACTGAATGGAAAGGCCGCGCTGAACAGGTAACCAACGTCAGCTCGACCAGCGCTTGTTCTTCTTCTSCTTCTTCTTCTTCTTCTAGTTGTTGTTGCTGCTGTTGTTTGTGTTGTTGACACATTTTGGCCATGGCAACGTCTGGGCCGGCTTTGAGGGTTGTTGGATATTCGTTCGCTCGGTTCGATGGTCGAGCTCGTGCTCGGCTTGCGCCTTGGACAGGTGGCGGTAAGCGGGTCAACAACGCGCCGGCCGTCAGTTTTGGCTCTCTGTTATTGGCCCTATCGATTAATTTGGCCAACTAATGCACGCGGCGCACCTTCTAAACGAAAAGCCATTGCTATTGCAGCAATTGCGGAAATTTGTTGCGGCAGTAAAAGCAGAGCACACAAAATAGCTCAAAGAGAATAAAAACGGAATTTCGCAAAGGTCGTTGAATGAACGCAGCACGCAGAGGCGTAGCCAACAGAAAGTCAATGTGAAGGGGGCGCAGACAGAGGGATTTAGCTGGTTGATAAGATTGTTCAAGGAGAATGCGATGTAATTAAGCTTGGAATGGGGTTAATGTTGGAAAAAAAAAAAAATACATTTTGTATATAAGACAGATATGCGTGAAGTCGGGTGGAGAGAGAGAGAGAGAGAGAGACACGAATGGCAAGGGGAGTTTTTTTTTACCTGAATAGGCTTAAGCAAATTATCAATTTGGATTATATATGTACATGTATGTACGTAAATCAAAATCTCCATTTCCTATAAGACTTTACTTAAGTATGATTTAATTATCTCTAGATCTAAGTGAATTTTTATCTATATTCATATTTTGATATAGTTCTCTTAGATCTCAGACAAATTTGTATCTTTATTTCTGTATAGATCAAATTTCTCTAGCCTTTTTTCATTCAATACAGTATTTTCAATTATATTATTTTGCTTTTCACATTTCTCTGCTCACTTGTCTGAAGTTGTTTAGTACAAATCTAATTATAATAGCCAAAACAGGTATATCTAAATATATATGTGTCAGGGTATACAATTTCATAGGTCCCAAGGTCAGAATTGGCTTCTTGCGCATAAATAATAAAGTTGTAAAAAGACTGAACAATCTACGAATGAGTCCAAAAATTAAAAAAAAAAATTGAATTTCGACTTCTTATGTTGTTCCACTTAATATGAAAATAGTCACAAAATAATAAATTTGAATTATTTTTAGTACAAAAAAAAGTTAGTTCAGAGGCAACTGCATTATAGAAATCACAGTTTCCCGAGAGTTAGATGAGTATTTAATGATAGTTCCCCCTTTCGAAATGCAAATCATCAGAATTTGCAAAATTTTTAGTACGCTCAATTGGTTTTTAGTACACTTGACAAGCATCGGTCTGGCAACGCCGCTGACTGGCTGGCCACCTGCCTGCAGACTCACCTGTACCCGAATCAGTTCGATCACCGTTGCCGTAGACGAATGGGCTGTAGGGCTCGTAGCCCGAGTGGCTCCCCGGGCCCTTGAGTGGCGGCTGTGGGGGTATGGGCGGTGGTGGTGCGGCGCTCGAGTCAAAATCTACGCCAGCAATGGACAAATGGACAATACAGAAGATGGATAAAATAATTTCGAATTGTAAGCGGAAAACCAATTGTAAGCCGAGTCTCCAAAATAGAGAAAAAGTAACGAAAAACCAAGCCTAGGACTACGAGATTAGATGAGCGCAGGCAACAACCCGAGAGAGAGAGAGACACACCCACTGCAACACTGTTAGATAGTTGAGTTACCTTTAAATGTGACCGCCATGGCGCTGCGTTTGAGACGTTCCAGACTGCCGACCGGGCAACGCCGGGCGCTAGCCGCTGGCTCCCCGTCGGGCACATAGCGCGCCTTGGGCCGATGCTTGTGGGCATCGAATTGCTGGTTGGCAAAGATGTCGGAAGTGGCTGTTGTCTGTGGCTGCTGACTCGCCCTGGCCGGACGCATGGGCGAGGTGGAGCTGGCTCGGGGGCCAGGCTGGCGTTGGGGCTTCTTGGGCAGCGCTGGCGTGCGCTGCGGATGCTTGTGGGCCACCCAGTCGCCGCTCAAGTGGGGCGAGATATCGTGCACATCCCGCAGATCTGCCAGCGAGGTGGAGAGATAACGCTGGGGCAGACTCTGGCCCGGCTCGGGGGACTCGTAGCGATGGCGCAGCGTCTGCACGTGGCCCGTGGAGCAGCTGTTGCTGCTGTGGCTGCGCGTCGGACTGGCCGCCTTGGCCGGCAGCAGCTCCGCCGTCTTGCTGATGATGTCGATGTGCGGCATGAGGAGTCCGCGCTGTCGCCGCCGGCCACGATCTGGCGAGCCGGTGGGCGTGGCAGCGCGTAGCTCAAACCTGTGCGTCAGCTGGCTGACGCCGTCATCGGCGGCTGGCAACGCATCCGCAGCGTTGCCCGAGGCGTCTTTTGATCCTCCGGCCTTCAGTTGAGGATCGCTGCGCGCCTTCCGCAGCTGGCTAAGCCCAAAAAAATGACGCCGCTCGTTGGACTGCTCCCGCTCGATGCTCTCGAACTTCTGCTTGATCTTCTGCACCTCGCCCGTGTAGACGCGCTGCAAGTAGGAGCTGGAGCAGGCCGACACCTGCGACTGCGGCGACAGGCTGCGCGACCGATAGTACGCATCGTACAGCTCAACGCTGCCAGCGGGCGAACCAGCCCCGTAGCTGTGCAGCTCGCCCGCCGGATCGGGCGCGGCTTCCTCCTCGGGCGGCCGCTCGGGCGGGCTGTGCAAGTGAAAATTTACGCGTGCCGCGGCGCGTTCGCCGTAGATGCCGCTCAGATCGGTCAGCGAGTTGCTCAGCTCCGTGTGCACCAGCTGGGTGTGGGCGTGGCTATGGCTGTGACTGTGGCTGTGGTGGTGGCGGGCCTGCTGCCTGGCCTGCATGTTCTGCTCGATGAGGCGCATCACCTCGGCCTCGTCCGGGGAGCTGTCCTCGCGCGCATGGTAGATGGTCTTGCTGGGCTCTTCGAACTGGCGCTCCTCGAAATATTGGATTTTCTGATTGATGGGATTCTCTTTGGACTCCTGCGGCTCCAGGGACTGCTGCGGCTGCTGCGACTGCTGCGACTCCCTCTCAGTCTCAGCCTTGGCCACGCTTGGCTTGGATTCCGCTTTGGGCTTGGGCCGTGGCGGCACCTCGGGCGGCTTGCTCAGGCTTAGCTCCGCATTCTTGGCGGCTATGGCGCCGCGTGTCTCGCGAGCCACCACCACCGGCGACTGGCTGCGCGTGGCACGTGGCAGCGTCTGCGCCTGCTGCTGCTCCTCGCGCTTGCGCAGCACCGGCCCGAGCAGCTGCTCCTTGCTGATGCTCGAATTGCAGCGCACTTTCAGCGTATTCGCATGGCTGCTCGGCTTGGAGTCCTTCTCCACGGTCACCACATACTGCTCCTCCACCGTGGCCCTTCTATTGCCCGCATAGATCTCGTTCAGCTGCTGGGTTATCTTCTTGATCTGATCCTTGGAGAGTGTGCTAACCAGATCGTTGTTCAGATGTCGCTCCGCCTGGGCTTGGGCCTGGGCCTGGGACTGTGTCTCCAGGCTGCTCGCCAGATCTGCGACGGTATTGCGTCGCCATTGACGCTGCACGGGCGGCAGGAGCTGCGCCTCGGCGCGCTGCCGCTTCAGCAGCTGCAGCTGCTCGAAATTCTCGCGCAAATCCTCGACGGACTTCTGTTTGGCATGCAGCGCCTGGTCCGCCTCCTGCCGCCACTTGATCTCATTCACGTCCTTCGAGCGAAAGTGCAGATCGCGTTCCCGCTGATCCGACTGCAGCTTGCCCACCAGGTATTGCAGCTCCTTTTCGGCCCGCTCGTGCAGACGCACCTTGCGCCACTCATCGAAGTCGAGCAGCTCCGCATCCTTGCGCAACGGATGAAAGTTGCTAGCCGAGGTGGCCCGCTCCAGCTGCCCCACCCGCTCCAAGGTGCTGTAGAAGCGATTCAGCTCGGTGAAGCGTTCGCAGTTGTTGCGGTAGCGGCAGCTCGGACTGTGCCGCTCCAGCTGCACCAGCGAGGTGGCACTGTGCGCCAGCTCGCCGCACTGATAGAGGCCGCCAGCGGTAGTGCTGTCTGCACCGCCTTGCTGCCGCCTGCTGCGATCGTCGGCGCTGCTCAGGCTGCTGGCACGTGCCACCGCCTGCTGGTGCTCCTTGTCCTGGCGCTGGCTCGAGCGCAGACTGTCGATGCGACGACGAGAGGGCGAACGCACTTCCCGCTGCTGCTGTGACTGCTGCGGCTGCGGCTGCGGCACACGCACTTCACGCGTGGGTGAGAAGCGACGCTGCACTACCTCGGGCGACTGCGGACGGGCGATGTCCGTGACAGCCTGCGGTCGAGCGCCTGCCTGTGCCTTGCTCTCATACTTCCACACGAGATCCTCAATGCAGCTGGAGGGCGGCGGTGCGGTGTAGTCATAGATATCCTCGCCGTAGGCCGGCTCCACCAGCGAGCAGTATTTGTAGTCGGCGGTGGTGCCGCCATTGATTAGCTGCGGCAGCGAGTGGGGCGTTTGGGTCTGGCTCTGCTTGGCATTGTAATCGTTCCAGAAGTGAGTTTTCTCGCGCACCGTCTCGCTGTAGGATTGCTGGGCCACAGCTGGCTTGGACTTGGCAGTGGTCTTGGTGGTTTTGGCGGTGCCGGCGCGTTTGCGTGGCACGTGACCCTCGCTGCGGCTGGTCTGCAGCGGCGCTGGCAGCGATTTGAGTGGCTTCGACTTATCCACATAGGTTTTGGGCGGTGCTATGGGCACATACTCCTGTCGCACCACCGAGTCAATGGAGTAGGTGGAGTTGCTCCTGGGCAAGCTCTCGTTCGAGGCTCTGCGATGCACCGTGGCAATGGTCTGGGTCTGCACCTTGCTGCTTTTGGGCATCACCTTCTTCAGAGCGCGACTGCAGTCGAGCAGATTCTGCGGCCGAACCTGGGGGAAGCACATGGTGTGGCGCGTGGTGGTGCTAACGGTGCTGTGGCGCAAGCGCGGCAACGATTTGCTGCGCGTATGCTGCGCCTTGCACGTGGCGTACGAGCGCACCGCCTCGCGCACCTCCTGCGGCGACTTCAGCGAGGGATCCCTCAGTATATTCGTGCTAGCCTCAAAATTGGTGCGGCCCGCAGGCAGCGTATTCTCCAGTCGCTTCTTCTCCTCGGCAAAGCTGCGCTCCTTGGAAATGCTGCGCCCAAAGGCAACGGGACTGCGACTCGAATGGCGCAGCGCCAGGAGGCGCGCCGGACGACGGCTCGGACTGACGGAGCGCAGGCGAGCGTGATGCTGCTGCTGCTGCTGCACTCTCATCAGACAGCCATCCTTGCTGCGCGTCTCCTTGGTGGCGGTCAGCGTGGCCAGCAAAGTGGACACGGCGCCCGTGGACTTGGAGCGACAGATGGGCTCCCGACGCGCGGTAGAGACCTTGCGCAGGGTAATAGTATTGCTGTTGCTGTTGCTAGTCCCGCCTGGTGGCTGAAAGCATTGATCGTGGCGCGATTTCGAGCAGCTGCTCGTTATCTTCTCCACGCGCACCGTGCTCTTCGTGCAGGAGGAGCGACGATTGGGCGGTAGAGGCGGAGACTCCTGCTGCTGCTGCTTCTTGCTTAACGGTATAAACGAGGGCAGATTCTTCGAGAAATGCGTAAACATTTTGGTAGCTGTAGCCGGAGGAGGCGGCGGCGGTGGTGGTGGAGGAGGTGGTGGTGGTGGCGTTGCTACCTTGACTTTATCTGATTCTTCCTTAGTCTCCTCTAAAGGCTTGGTGCTGACGCGTATTTTGGTTAGCGTCGGCGTTATCTGTATAAATTCAAACTCTTCTACAATTTCTTTAGGTTTTGTCGGAAGAGTCGAAATCAGGAGAGAGATTTGCATATTAATCATAGAAGCAGCGACTTTATAGAGGGTGCCCGGTGCTGCAGTGCTTCAAAGAACGCTCGACGCATTTGCTGATAACAACTTCTAGTGTGGCAGTGGGTGTGTATACTATTATATATATATATGGTATATATAGTTTACCAATTGATTAWGAACAGTACAAACTAGTTAGACTCAAGGAGTAGTAGAACAAAGTAGAGCTTGAAAGTTGTAGAGAGAAACCAACACCAATTGAAGAATTAGTACGAACAACTGCGCCTTAACTTTAGTTATTTAGTGTTGTGAGAGAAACCATATTAAGAATAATTGAACTAGTTCAATTGTGAACTATCCTACCTTTGGGTTTCTCGGGCGCTGGCTTGCGGAAGCCAAGCAAAGGCGGCTCACCACCGGCTTGTAAGCTCTTGTAGGCCTGACGCTGCTCCACAGGACTCAGCGGACTGCTAACTGGCAGCTCCTTTTTGCGAAAGACTAGATTGGAATCGCTGGTATAACCAGGTTCTTTGGCCAGAGCTCTGCGGGGGATACGAATGTACAATATTAATAGAGGAACAGTTTAGGGAGGGCTAGATTTTCTTACCTTGACAAATTGCCTTCTGTGTAAAGCGGCGATAGTTTCGATTGTTCCAAATTCTGTATTGTAATAAATAGAAAAATTGAGATTAGACGGAGCTCATTCAACTTATTTTCCAATGAAACGATTTCAAGACTTTTTAATTTTTACTATAAAAATTAGTATTTCGAGTGCCGTTTGTGGACGCAATGAGACCCTTTCTGGAGAGACTTAACTCGACTATTGAGGACTTACTGCATAATTATCAATATCATCGACGAACTCTATTATGATTCGTGGTATACGTGTATGTTCCCTGAGCCACTTAGCGTTACGCATAATTATTGAATTGGAGAGGGGATAAGACAGATAAGATATACTAAAGTATATTTTCAAGGATTTCACTATTCAACGAAAATCATATTTTTATAAACTTAACAGGATACTAATCTACCCATTTTTTATGGGTGCAGGGTGTACACAAAAAAAAAAAAAAAAATTGCAATAAAAATCTATGACTAGAAATTATATAGATTAGCGTTCATACCCCATTAAAGATGTCCATCACTTCGTCCCACCACTAGAATTGTGAATAGAATAATTTGCTGTGAGTTAGATAAATTGCTACGCGATTTGTGTAGGACGAAAATAATGATAAATAATGAGATCGTGCGTATGATATCGTGTGTCAGATATGGGAGGTATTATATATAGTGAAAATGCGAATGGGGGGAAATGAGTGAAAAGCAGCTGAGAGCATATGGAAGAATATTGTGGATTTATAGCATTAGCCATGGACGAGTTCACATAGTTTAGTTCTTGATAGGGATAGAGTTCTGTGCGTGACTAGAGACTGCTGCTGACTTGGGCACTTGCCTCCTTCTTCTCCTTCTCCGAAACGGACGAATGGCCCGTGGTATAGTCCTCAATGCGACCAGGTTGATTCTTGTATGAGTTTTGTGCCGATTTTATGGGATTGGGCATAGTACCATACAATCTGAAGCGAGAATTCATAGGCAAAGTAAATATACATATCTTTCTAGAGTTCTAGAGTTTCCTGAACTTACTTATCGTCCTGGTTTAGATTGCGCACATTTACAGCCGACGAGACCGATTGCACGCGCAGCGGATTGGGTGTACGATATTTTACTGTTGAGTAATCGGAATCGTAGTTGGGCTCGGGCTCAGAGACATAACCATTGCTCTTATAGGATGGACGAGCTGTGTAAGGTTATGAAAGACAAAAATTAAATTCGATTTTTGAATATATTTTAAAGAAAAGTTATTAGAAATTTACGAGCACTACTGAAGTTGTTGTTGTTGTTGCTGTTGTTGTGGTTGTTGTTATCACGGATGTTGCAATTGTTGTTGTTATTATTATTGTTTTTGTTGTTGTTTAGGGCAGACATAATGTTAGAGCTTGGTGTATGAGTACGTACTTAGTTTAAGATTAGTGTAGAAATTTTGTTTAAAGCGTTCCAATAAGCTAAATGGCACAAAAAAATGAGCAAAAAATAATATAATATAATATAATAAAGTCCAATAAGAAAAAAATATGATTAAATCGACTTCCGCATGCCAAAACTGATAAAAAGAAAAATGTCCAAATTAGAAATCATAAATGTTACAGCTACTACCAAAAGCAGGCGAAGCGATAAGTGGGAGCTACTTAAGCAAAGCTTAGACTGAATTTAGAATATTATATGGATATAAGTTATAAAGAGTTTTAAAAAATCACCTCTGGGACACTTGTAGCGTATCACAAATTCGTCTGTTGAGTGCGATTTGACAAGACAAAGAGAGACAGAGTGTGGAAAGCGTATGGGGATGGGTACAATTGGTGATATATGGTATATATATATATATATATATAGTAGAGGAGTGGCATTCGAAAAAGAGAATTCAGAGAACAGTTAAACAACTAGTTCAGCAGGCGCAGAACTGAAGCATTATAAAGATATAGGTTAAGTGGATCATAAGTTATATATGGGAATGTGGTTATGGTTGGGTTTCATAATGCTTCAAGTTCTGTTGGATCTGAGTGGTAAAACATTTACCGCCATTCTTCTGCTTATGTATGGTCTGATAGAGGCGCTTATACCATTCATGCTGATGCGGTTCCTGGACCTCCTGCAGCGTAACAGACAAAATATGTATATATCAAATAGGGAAGATTGTGGGTTCGCTTCGCTAGCTGAACTTGAGCTGATATCTGTTTAGTTTTTGCTTTTACCGATCTGAGTATGATGGGCATTCCATCGTTGGTAACGGGACCGATCCCTTCGTATTGCCGTCGACCTAACTGTGCCATTTTTCTCGGACGATCGCTTTCCGTTTCCGGTTCGCTCATATACTCGTGCTTGACTTTGTAGACTGTAAACCGGAGATTGTTTTAATTCTTGTTTTTAGTTTTAGTGGAGTCAGTGTTTGTTTTTTTGTTTTTTAGGTGGAATTGTCAAGAGGAGTGGAAAACGAGTGGAAATAAACGCGTGTAAAACATTAGAACATTTAGAATGCAGCACCTGCCGCTGTTAATCTTTCGTGTGTGCGAACGACTTGTGAACGAACGCTCGAACTGTTCATCTCATACAACTTTGTTGTTGTATGGGGCCTACAGTGGATATACTTACTGACTTCATTGGGCCTATAGACGGCGCGGCTAGTGTCGTTTTGTTGACGGCGTGCGAACGGCCTATACAGCTCCGATGTGGAAGCCGAGCGTTCAAATGCTTCACAAATGAGAAAATGTTTAGAGAGTCATATGAATAGAGGAAACTTTTTTAAGCTAGCGACAAATAAGTCTAGTTCGAACAGCAAAATACGAGTGTCAAGACTTTGGAGTTGCTCTAATTATTTTATATAAATTATACGTAGATCTTGTAACGATCAAAGGTTTGCCTAGTTATTATTTAGTGATTGACTAGAAACTATAGCTAGAAAATTATATATATATATTGTTGTTGTTATGATTCTCAATTATAAAATCACAACAAATGCTCTAGATCTATGTTTTATCAAGTTTATATATGAAATACCTCACTTCTCTGATTTCTCATATATCTTGTTTGTTTGCACTCTTCAAAAACATAATAATATATGATTTGTAATACTCGAATACGATCTCTGTGATTTGCTTCTAGAACTCAGGTATTACACAGATTTTGGCTAATGTCTTTATATCAAAATCGCTATTATAAGATATTTATGAATAGAGATCCCTTATATCCCATTTATCTGCAGATCTCTGTTCTTAATATCAAAGATTTATGATATTTGAAAAATCTAGAGAGATCTAATAGATTTGTTTGCTATTTTATATTATATTGCTGGTCTCCAAATGTCCTCCCCTAAATCTCTCCTCTCTAATCACTTAAGGTATTCACAAATAGCTTTCCTAGCTCTTGCACACATATTGAGAATATTATCTACTTTTGATCTTGTCGGAGACGCTGGCACTGGGTGCCACGGGCCCAAATTGATTGGAATAGTCGGTCTCCGCGTAGTCCGAGTTGTTGGAGTTGAGCGTTGAGGGCGGCGTGCTCAGATTGGTGCTGGTGGTGGTGGTGGTGCTGCTGCGTGGTGCAGGCACCGGGCAGCTGCCGTTTGTATAAGACCAMGGTGGTGTCGTCGTCGTCGCTGCCGCTGGCTGTTGTTGTTGCTGCAGGGCCGTGTAGCGTCGCGGTAGTGTGGGCGATTCAAAGCGCACAGGGCGGAACTCCTTGCGTCCGCTCAACGCTGGCGACGGCTGCGGCGTCCACACGGGCTGTGTGGGCGGCGGCGGTGGAGTGGGCGCCGCCGAGGAGCTGTGATCTAGCTCGTTGCTGGAGCCGTACGGTGTTTGGCTCTTGGGTGTCCAGACGCCTGTTGATAGTGTGGAATGAGTGGTTGGCTCTTATGACACAGTTGTCTACATTTTCACTGGTTCGGTGGCTCAGTGGTTCAGTGGTTCGGTGGGTGGGCTAAACATGACATTTTCAGGGGCGCAAGTTCACATTCTAGTTGAGTTTTATGCTCTCTCTATATAGATACATGTATATATTTTCTAGCTGCTGACATTTACACTTGTCAACAAATTTATGCTCGCTTTGCGGCTGATGCTCGCCTTCCATTGGTTTCATTGGTTTCTCTAACCAAAATAAATGCTGCAGTCAACAAACCGAGCGAAGACAAATTGACAAACAAACATCGCGACGTTGAACAGCAATAATTAATACGACCAAGGAAGCCGCATTTGGCACCCATTCAAAATTTGCCCACAGAAAAGCAATAACAAAAAAACACAAAAAAAAACTATCACACACACACATAAACATCTATGTAGACACACACACACAGGGATGAGTCATCGCATTTGGCGCATGTTTAGAATTTACAAAGACTTTCACAGACTGTTATAAAATTATATTTGAATCAAACGACAAACGACAAGAAACACGCTAAAAGAAACGAGCCTCACGAGGTGTTTCAATTGTTAGGTACAGTGAACACTGACAGTGGAAGCACCGAGGACTAACAAATGAAGACATTTCATTTATTAGTTTAAAATATATAATAAATTATATTGAAATATTCTGGTTTGATTCGAAATCGAAGAGCAAATTCTTATATGTTTTATCACAGCTCATTCTTATATTAAAATTTTTCCTTTTTTTTTCTAATCAACTTTTTTCTGTAATCAAAATTTGCTATAGAATGCTCTTATCTTTATACTTATGTGTATACATTGTCAAAGCCTTCCCAAAACTTTTTAAATATTAATAAATATTTTATATAACATACATAAAATTGAATTTGATTGTCGCTCAAACAGTGCAAACATTTAATATATATTTCTTTGCATACTCTTCTAATTTCGGTCAAGCAAGATTGATGCTATTATTTATTACTTTAAATCGATAAAATGCTGTTATTTATATTTTTTTTTAAGCTTGACATTTGATTGTGAAATGTCTTATACATGGCAATTGAATTGCTAAAACATGAAATTCAACTTTTATGATTTTTTATAATTTCTATATCATACACCTGTATATCTACTTTAAAGATAATTTATAACTTTTATGATTCAAATCAACTGCCTTAAGATTTGAAGCATACTAAATGCAGAAAGCATTTGCTAAAAGATAAACTTCAATTCCGAATTTTAATGAATCAAAATGACGAACTTAATTTTAATTATTAGTAAATGTAAATTGTCCTAAAAATTGAAAATAAATTTACTTGCCTATTTTATAGAACAAGTATATATGAAAATGGCAGAAATGTTCTATAACTGACTTTAATATAAAAGCAAAAAATAGTTCTTTCATTTCAGTTTCACTCGGTTGAGCATAATTACAGAATAGCCCTCGTTGTTCGTGCAGTCAAGATCTTTCACTGAACAGATTTATATGCCACCTGTAATAGCACACAAATACACAAGCAGCCAGCTTCATACACACACACTTTCACACACATTAGATACACTTCTGTCTACATAGATATTGCCTGCCCTAGGCGCGATTCGCCGCCAGACATTGACACGCATATCGCATATAGAATACGTTTTGGCTTCGATATATATACGCGCGCCCGCTCCCCATCTCTCCCTCTCTCTGCTGTATTTTAATAGTGGGTGGATGCGCTGACGTCTTAATTCAATCAGCACTTGATCGAATTATACAATCGTATCAAAGTCTTGCCAATGCCAATCAAAATCTAAATCAAATCCACAATCCTGTGCCGTCCCACCACTCGCTGACTCATTCACTTAACACTCGCAATTTTGCTGCAGAAAAGCGATTTATTTTTATTTTATTTTTATTTTTTTTTTACCCTGGTGAGGATGTTATATTTGCTATATAATCGTTTTTAACTGGATCGTTGCGACGAGTTCTCGAGTAGCTGACTCCGCGCGCGGCTCAAAGCGACTGAATTTTGCGTGAGCCGTCGTCGTCGAGCAGACCAACTCGGCGTTTACTGATTTTTCTTTTTGGGAACAACTGCTAAATGACTAAAACAACACACACACATTCATGCACACACATATATATGTATGTGTAACAGGCACAGTCACAGTCAGAGCACACACACCCCGCAAGAGTTCACAATTTCCCAGCAATTTTAAATAGAAGATCAATTACGGCTGCAATCAAATATGGGAGCGCGTGCTCGATGAAGCGCACACTCAATACATACACGCATACATACACATATATTTGTATATATGTATGTATGTATTTATAGTATATTCAGATTTGAACAAGACAAAAGCAGAGTTTTAGTTTTATTTTGGGTGAAACGCCAATTATGCGTGCAATGCGAAATGGAACGGATGTGTAAGCAACTAAATATACCATACTCTGAATGCTGAATTTACTCCCCACATATACTATATATATGTGTATAAAAGAGTCCAGCTAAAGAGTCAATCAAAATGATTTCATTTGTTTTGTAAACTCTTTTTTGAAAAAGAAAACAAAAGCCGAATGTGCGTTTGGTTTGGTTTGGTTCTGACTCGACTCGGCTCGGCTTGGCTTGGCTTGGCTTGGCACTTCCGGTTTGTTCAGTTCTCTGTTCTCTATGCTCTATGCTCTTTAGGAATAAATCAAACGGAAATTTTGCTTGGGTTTTTTTTTTCTGTTTTTTGTTTGTAGCCAATAAAAAACAATGCTCATTAAAGTAGCCTCAGCCATTTGAGCCGTAGAGGGAGCGGCAGGGCAGGGCRGGGCAGAGCAGGAGCTTAGCTTAACTTTCTGCTGCTGCTGCTGCTGCTGGGTGTGTTTTATTTTATTTTTTTTTTCAAGGAGCGCCCTCGCTCGTTCGTGAAGAAGCGCATTTACTTGGAGAATCGACTCGTAGCTGCTGGCAATTTATGTGAAATTTATTGATTTGCAAAATGAAAATGGAAATGAAAATATCGTATGGGTCTTTAAGCAAATGAGGGCGGGAGACCGAGGCAGTAAAACTATATTTTCTACCTGCAATTAGAGCACTTTTAATTTTAAGTAGACTGTAGAATGGGACGGCAGGTAAAAAGAGAGAGAGATAGAGTGTGTTCAGGTATGATATGATAGACTAGCCAATGCCCAGGGAATTTTGCAAATTAGTATATAGAATATGCTGTTGTTAAAAATAATTAATAATAAAATGGATAAATATGCATATAAAATTACTGATTTGTTCACTATTTCGAAAAATTCTTGATTTTTTCTTGATAAAAATAAATTAAAGAAAAATACGTATATAAAAAATTGTTTATAAATTTAATTAACCCAAATTGATACAAATAAAAATTGCAACAAAGAATATATATGCATATATATATATATACTACGCTTCCATACTTTTTACCTGAATTATGAGTAATATAAATTGGAAATGTCGTAAAAAGTAACCTAATAAACAAATTCATTAAATCTCCTATAATAACTGTTAGACAAACCTAACAAATCCCTTTCTACTGTCTCCGCTTTAACCCTCCCATTGTCTCCACCCATTCATTTCATAGGGTATTTTGTAGAAGCGTTCTACAACTATATTTTTAGTGGCTGTGTCTTGTGGCCTTGCAGCCGTAGAAACTGAGGCTGTCCCAGTCTGGCCGAGCTGCGAGCAACCTGTGCGTGCGCCCATTTATTAGGCGATTGGAACGGCCGCCTTTTGGATAGAGCGATTGACTCTGGGCTCTGCCCAGCTATCGAATGAAGGCGTGGCCAGCCGCGACCTAACAGCAGCGCTGTGACCCAGCCTGCACTAGGTGCGCCACATTGTTTTCTATTGTGTGTGCGTATCGGTTGGCATTCCCGCTTTGATTTATCTGGTCTGCCCCATAATTGAGTGCGCAAAGTATTTATGGAGTGCTGCTGCACCAAATGGCACATCTACTCACTCACGGCGCCCTTTAGAAAGCGGCACGAGTTTCATGTCTATCATGTTGGGCCTAGGGTGGGAGTGGTCTAGGGTTGGGCTAGCAGGTTGTAAAGGTCATTGGGCCTCAAATGAATGAACGAGGGGAGTGGGCAAGAGAAGGCTGTAGGTTGTGGCAAAGGTTAGAAGATATAAAGAACCGGAAGATATAGGAAGAAGAACAAAAATATATATTTTACTATAAATTTAAATAAATTTATCAATAAAATTTAAGTTTTGTGCTCTTCTTATAGTCATATAAAATTAGTCCAATTCAAATCCTAAAATCCTTTGGTCTTTTGGCCTTCTGCTACATAAACTTTCCCCAATTTTAATTCCACAAATAAATCTTTGGCAATACTTTTTTTCAACACTTTTGCTTAGCAAATGAAGATCCAAAGACAACGTCATCTGCAGATATATATTCGTCTAAGAAATATATATATAATCTTATTCACCTCTTTTTTCAATCTCTAACTTAATTATGTTCAAATCATTCTTTCATTCCTTCATTCACGCAAATATATCAATAGTCAAGTTCAACTGAATTTATATTAACCATAAATTATGTTCAGTCACTAAAAGTCGCACGAAAAAATAAATATAAATAT